GTCACATGACAGCAGGTCACATTCCTGTCACATGACAGCAGGTCACATTCTTGTCACATGACAGCAGGTCACATTCCTGTCACATGACAGCAGGTCACATTCCTGTCATATGACAGCAGGTCACATTCCTTCCTCGTGGAGTTGAAAGGAGTCCCTGCTGCAGCAGATGAGGTCAGCTTATTCTTAGGAGAAGAACGCCTTGTGTCGCGCCCGCGATATTTCCATTAAATTTAATAATTTACAGCTTAGATAGGTCAAACCATCCTATTGCCTATCTTTATTTTCCATGCCACAATATCCCTCAGATGATTCTGTGCCTTCGTTTAGAGACAGCAAACTTAATAAACGTTATGGCGTCATTGTTATCACGTGTCCTGCAAGTGCTGGACAGCTGTTCGCTATACCTGCGTTAAGTCACCTACTTTACTGCCGCAATCCTCGTACGTTCCCTCATTGTAGCGGTTACTTTTGTTGTGAATCTATTTTAGCTCCAACATCCGGCGACCTTATTCGTTCTAGTATTTCGTTCGGCTATACGCGTGAAGATTTCGTTCAATTGCTGTTTCGTCGAATTTTACGAATCTCATATCGAATTCCTTCATTTGTTGACAGTAAAATTTGTTGCTAGATAAAATTTAAAATTATTTTCTTCCTCTATCTTGCAGATGACGTTTTAGGTCACTAGGATTGAATAAAGTTTCACAGAAATTAGTAGCTGTCTTTGCTAAACCTGCATCAGCAGACCCGTGGCTGTAATCACTCGAGCCAATAAATCTGATGCCGTGACATATTGACTGACTCGAGTACATCGCACGTTACTTTTATCCTCTACATAAACAAACATAATTGAACATAAGAGTGAACACAAAGGAACAGAAGGGACCAGAATGCAAGCCACTAACCTGCTCGACGCTGCTGCTTACGACCGCCGCCAGCTCCTCGTACCAGATCTTGAGCGCGTACACGCCTACGTAGTCTTGTATGTACTCGAACGAGGCCCTGAGACCCGCCATCTGCCGCCCCACCGCCGCCAGCTGGCGTAGCAGACACCCGCCACCTGCCTGCAATATAAGCCATGTCTTGTATGTACTCGAACGAGGCCCTGAGGCCCGAGGGCTGCAGGTATTGCATCTACAATGCATTTATATAAATGTTTCGTACACGCAAACACGATGCATCATCGACAACGTCTCCTTTGCTACTGAAATGGCATCCCTGGACCAGCAGAGGCTCCTTACTTCACCCCCCCCTCCAAGTTACCCGCCTCACGGTGCCCCTCTGGACCAGCAGATACCTTAGTTCACCTCCCCAGTTACTCCACATTCCCTACCACACCCTTTACAATTTCCCAGAGCTACAATAGCACGGACGAGAGGCAAGAGGTAATATAAAGCAATGCTTTTAAGTTTAGCGCGTCACCTTCTTGGGCAGGACGCTGAGGTTGGCCTGCAGGATGGACGCAATCCTGCGTCGGAGCTCCTGCCTGACGCCGCCCTCCAGCAGCTGCCGGGGGTGAAGCTCCACGACGCCCACGAGCGTGGCGCCCATCTGCTCCACGCCCGCCGCCAGCACCCCTACGCTGTGGCACAGCTCGCACAGCTGCCACATGAGGGTAGTACAGTTAGCACAGCTGCCACATGAGGGTAGTACAGTTAGCACAGCTGCCACATGAGGGTAGTACAGTTAGCACAGCTGCCACATGAGGGTAGTACAGTTAGCACAGCTGCCACATGAGGGTAGTACAGTTAGCACAGCTGCCACATGAGGGTAGTACAGTTAGCACAGCTGCCACATGAGGGTAGTACAGTTAGCACAGCTGCCACATGAGGGTAGTACAGTTAGCACAGCTGCCACATGAGGGTAGTACAGTTAGCACAGCTGCCACATGAGGGTAGTACAGTTAGCACAGCTGCCACATGAGGGTAGTACAGTTAGCACAGCTGCCACATGAGGGTAGTACAGTTAGCACAGCTGCCACATGAGGGTAGTACAGTTAGCACAGCTGCCACATGAGGGTAGTACAGTTAGCACAGCTGCCACATGAGGGTAGTACAGTTAGCACAGCTGCCACATGAGGGTAGTACAGTTAGCACAGCTGCCACATGAGGGTAGTACAGTTAGCACAGCTGCCACATGAGGGTAGTACAGTTAGCACAGCTGCCACATGAGGGTAGTACAGTTAGCACAGCTGCCACATGAGGGTAGTACAGTTAGCACAGCTGCCACATGAGGGTAGTACAGTTAGCACAGCTGCCACATGAGGGTAGTACAGTTAGCACAGCTGCCACATGAGGGTAGTACAGTTAGCACAGCTGCCACATGAGGGTAGTACAGTTAGCACAGCTGCCACATGAGGGTAGTACAGTTAGCACAGCTGCCACATGAGGGTAGTACAGTTAGCACAGCTGCCACATGAGGGTAGTACAGTTAGCACAGCTGCCACATGAGGGTAGTACAGTTAGCACAGCTGCCACATGAGGGTAGTACAGTTAGCACAGCTGCCACATGAGGGTAGTACAGTTAGCACAGCTGCCACATGAGGGTAGTACAGTTAGCACAGCTGCCACATGAGGGTAGTACAGTTAGCACAGCTGCCACATGAGGGTAGTACAGTTAGCACAGCTGCCACATGAGGGTAGTACAGTTAGCACAGCTGCCACATGAGGGTAGTACAGTTAGCACAGCTGCCACATGAGGGTAGTACAGTTAGCACAGCTGCCACATGAGGGTAGTACAGTTAGCACAGCTGCCACATGAGGGTAGTACAGTTAGCACAGCTGCCACATGAGGGTAGTACAGTTAGCACAGCTGCCACATGAGGGTAGTACAGTTAGCACAGCTGCCACATGAGGGTAGTACAGTTAGCACAGCTGCCACATGAGGGTAGTACAGTTAGCACAGCTGCCACATGAGGGTAGTACAGTTAGCACAGCTGCCACATGAGGGTAGTACAGTTAGCACAGCTGCCACATGAGGGTAGTACAGTTAGCACAGCTGCCACATGAGGGTAGTACAGTTAGCACAGCTGCCACATGAGGGTAGTACAGTTAGCACAGCTGCCACATGAGGGTAGTACAGTTAGCACAGCTGCCACATGAGGGTAGTACAGTTAGCACAGCTGCCACATGAGGGTAGTACAGTTNACGCACCCGCCTGATGTAGGCCACCAGGTGGCCGCTGTACAGGGTGGACACACACGCACCCGCCTGATGTAGGCCACCAGGTGGCCGCTGTACAGGGTGGACACACGCACCCGCCTGATGTAGGCCACCAGGTGGCCGCTGTACAGGGTGGACACACACGCACCCGCCTGATATAGGCCACCAGGTGGCCGCTGTACAGGGTGGACACGGCGAGCGCGTCAGGCGAGCGCGCCTGCGCGATGCGCAGCAGCGGAGGCTCCAGGGCGGACGCGAGCTTCAGGAAGACGGCGCGCAGGCGCACCACCTCACCGGGCGCCTCCCTGATGCGCCGCTGTGCATTGATTAAAACATATGATTAATACAGACATGTTGATCAGTTGAGATGTATTGATTAACAACATGTTCGTGGCTAATAAATGGACATCTTTCTTCATTCTCAAAGACATGTTCTTAATTAACAAACCCAAGTGATGATGTACAGGGACCGCAATACTGAGCCATGTCTGCACCAGTGAAAATATTCGCTCCCACCATTCACGGAGGGCGGGGGCCTACACCGACGGAGCAGCAATGTTACACTCTCACAACGTCTTCAGAACTAACTTCAGTTATTCAGTTGTATATTCACGAAATGAAGCGATCACAATATGTACAGTATCTAAATTCAAAGAAGGGAGGAGTAATTGTTTACCTGAATCTTTCGCAGGAATCTCAATATTTCGTTAATATATTGCAAGAATAAGGTGTCCTCTGACCTGCATGACAGGCGTGTACAGGTCCACTGACCTGCATGACAGGCGTGTACAGGTCCACTGACCTGCATGACAGGCGTGTACAGGTCCATGAGGCGCCAGGCGTATGACAGGTCCACTGACCTGCATGACAGGCGTGTACAGGTCCATGAGGCGCCAGGCGTATGACAGGTCGGCGACAGTTGCCAGCACGGCGAGGCTGCCGTCGTCTGCGCCGTACAGGCGCTCGAGCTGCGCCAGGGCGACGAGCGCCTCCTGCAGCGCCTGCGTCGCGCCACCGCTCGCACTCAGGTCGTGGTACTCTGGCCGTGAGTGAGACGTTAGTGAGAAATTTTTCCGATAGTAGTTTGTGGATAAAAAATCCTTATAGGGATGAGTGAGACTTTAGTGAGAAATTTTTCAGAGAGAGCTACTAGGTAGTTTGTGGATACAAATCCTCATGCGTTTACCAGCAGACCTAGTTAGGCTAGAACTTTAGCTTTGAGTCCACTGTCACTGAGAGCTTGCCCCATACGCTGAGTCGACAGCCTATACAGCATATGTGTCACGAGGACAAGAACCTGGTGGACGGAAGTACGAAGCCTATGAAAGGGCTGGGAACCTTAGTGGGCCCCAGTAACAGACAAATACGCCGCCATGCATCTCGCGTTAGAGCTACTCCGGCCTAACGGTCGAAGTCTAGTCTATATTTGTTGGGATCTCCATAATATCTATCATTTATTACCATTCCGTATCAAGATAAGTTCTGCGACACATTGTGTCATTCAAATCTCTCACGCCCTTAGTCAACGAAACCCTGTCTTTAGGTAGAAATATTCTAACAGTCAGCTGGCGCGTAATATGGCTGTCTGACATTAATGAGACGTTAGCGAGGCGTTACCAGGACTTTATTGAGACCTTAGTCAGAAGTTAATGAGGCTTTAGCGAGACGTTAGCGAGATGTAAGCGAGGCGTTGGTGCTTTAGTTTGTTCCGTTGCCGCCGGCTAGAGATGCTACTAGCTAATTAAACGTTAGTTGCACCTATAGTTCGCTACTGTCAGGGGCGGACGCTTGCAGCTCCGGGCCAAGACAATATATAATTTAATTTCAGGCAACTGTGCTCGTCTATCTAACCTACGAAGCTACGATGCTGTTTATAACTCTCCTAGTCATCGTCAGTCAAAAGCCGGCTCAGTAGCGATGGATTAAATCATGAAGAAGCACACTTAAAATAGTTAATTAAACTCACTTTATGTTATAATCGTAATTACCTACACAACAGGATAAAATAGTATATTTGATATCACTTTTGTCAAAATCATAATTGCGCAAAATTAAAATAGTTTATTATGCTCACATTCCGACTAAAAGCACTTTGTTATGCGAGACGTCCAACTCTGTATTGCACAGCATTAATGCACGTAGTTCAGGAAAAGCATGAATTCCCCTAGGCGAAACGACAGCAGGGAACACTGGTTTTAGTCAGCACGACTCGACTAGTTAGCAAAACTAGACTGACAAACTAGTCAGACAACAGCTACTGGCTAGTCCGCCTTCGCAGCACTGGGCTGACTGCTCAGGGTCACGGTCAGCTGACAACTGACTGCTCAGAGTCACGGTCAGCTGACAGCTGACTGCTCAGGGTCACGGTCAGCTGACAGCTGACTGCTCAGAGTCACGGTCAGCTAACAACTGACTGCTCAGGGTCACGGTCAGCTAACAGCTGACTGCTCAGGGTCACGGTCAGCTAACAACTGACTGCTCAGGGTCACGGTCAGCTAACAACTGACTGCTCAGGGTCACGGTCAGCTGACAGCTGACTGCTCAGGGTCACGGTCAGCTAACAACTGACTGCTCAGGGTCACGGTCAGCTAACAAGACTTAAGTGATTGCTGATCTCGGCTAACTACGTAACGTTCAGTAGCGTACAGGTTCATCTGTCAAGTGTATGACACGAATACTTGACGCGTGCGTGTCTCTTACATTTTTGTGAACGATAACAATGCTTTAGCAGATAACACATTTTAATATCCTTCACGTGAATAATTAGAAGCAAGTAATTTTGGGAGCAACAGTTTTCTGTCATTCACACCGTTAATTAGAAATTTGATTCCGTTTTAATTCAACGGTGAATGAGAAGATAAAATTTTAGCTTGTTAATTTCGTGGAGAACGTGGAAGAATTACAAAGTTATTTGATCGTTGACTCAAACGGGTGACTATATTTGCTCTTTGGTGCAGCATTTACCACTGCAAACCGAGTTCAACCTTATTTCCTATTAATCGATATGAATTAATACATGTCAAGAGCCCTTAATTTGTTTAAAGTTTATACATAGTTAGTTTTTTATAACTTTTCAAATACAGGTCTAAAAAAATTTCATTCGAGAAGAAAATGTAGGTCGAGGTTCAATTAGCTTGAAAACAACAACTTGGAGCACTAAACCTAGTGACTGATTAGCTTGCAGTGAAAAACCGCTTTTCAGGTATAACTATAGAAATCGTACTTCGATTTTTTCGGTTCAGAAATTTAGTTGTTTTAAGGGTCCTCCAGTTACATGTAAATTTTCAGCTCGATCGGAGAAGGCGTTTGGAAATGCCAGGTTTTGGAAAAAAGCTCCGCGTTTCAGAGTAGAGGTTTTTGGTTGTAATTTTCGATTCGTTATAAATGCAAAAGTTAACACGTTGACTACGTATTGGTACATATGCGTACCACGAAATGTATTTCTCCAGGACGTAGTGGTACATAATTCAGGTTGCCTAAAATCGGCAAGTCCGGGAACAAAAAAGGCCAAAAAAGGCCAATAATTCAATGTATACTAGTTTATTTGTAGTTTCCGCTATAAAAATTCCATTTATTTTCTTTTTGCAGTATTTAAAATTTAATTAGGAAGTACCCCTATCATAAATTTTAGCCGGCCAACGCAATTGAGAAAAACTTAATCACGGAATTTGTCCGGAAAAAATGACCGTCTACAGTGCCGGAAATGGCTATACGACCACCCAGTTTTCTGCAAATATTTTTTCTTGCACAGAAAAATATGAGATTCTAATTACACGAGGTTAAACTACGTTTAAAAACGGTTCCAACGCTATGCGAAAAAAAATAATGTTCTCAAAATATAGGAGAAGAAATTATGAAAATTAGAAAAACCTAGGTGGAAATGGTTATAAGACCAAGATATGTTTTTCCGTTTGTGGATCACACACACTCATTTTAACAGGCAATCTCACCCCCTTTCGCCATAATTACCGCAATGCATCTTCTCCCCACGCTATTTACCATATAATCCAGTGTCTTTTGAAAAATTTAATCCCAAGAACGAAGGATAGCCGTGCTTTGGTCACTCACAGATTGGAACTGGCGCTCATTTTGGTAAACATCCCTCGCCATGATGCCCCATAAGTTTTCAATGGCGTTGAGGTCAGGACTAAGCGCCGGCCACGGCAACAGAGTAATATTCTGCTCTAGGAACCACATGTTTGCCGATTTCGAGGTGTGAATTGAAGCATTGTCTTGTTGGAAAACATATGTTCCCTCATGTTTCTCATCGGCAAAAGGGAGAAGTTGGTAAAACAGCGTGTGCTTGTAGCCACGGAATCTTGTCTCCCTTGTAAAATAGCTAGAGTTGATTTTCTCTTTCGGCTAAACGCCCTCCAAACCATGACCGAACCACCAAAAGATTGCCGCTNCAGCAGCAGGTCAAAGACGGCGTCAGGGGCGGCCTGCGTGCAGGTCACGACCTGTAACAGCAGCAGGTCAAAGACGGCGTCAGGGGCGGCCTGCGTGCAGGTCACGACCTGTAACAGCAGCAGGTCAAAGACGGCGTCAGGGGCGGCCTGCGTGCAGGTCACGACCTGTAACAGCAGCAGGTCAAAGAGTCATGTACTGTGACAAACAAGTTTAGCTGATGCCAGGGTTTTGATGTGTGACGTCTCCACGACGCTCTATGCCATGGCTCATTCTGAAACATAAAGGAAACAAAAAAAGTAACCGGCAAGCTGCGGCCGAATAGCAACCGAATTGTAACAATCGCTGGCCATTCCTCATTCATTTACCCAATGCCGTGGTGATCCAGCACATCTGACCAGGTCTCGTAGTCCGAATAGACTCTAATGTTGAAGTCTTACCAGGGTGAACAATGCGACCCTGTCGACGGTGTTCGTCCTTAGCATCAGGGATGCTTGGAGCGTTGGTGCGAATATGTAGGCAATGTATTTAAAAACAGCCGAGGTTGAGAGACGTAGAGTAGACGTAGAGTACTCTCTGTGCAACAATGCGGAGGCTCAATCACGCAAAGCAAGGCGTATCTGGCGACAAAGCCAACTCTATGTTATCTTGCATCCTCGCTACTTTTCCCCTGCTACAAGAAGGTTTGTATAATGTTCTACCTTACAGGGCCGTTCTCAGGGAGTCGCGTCTCCTGTAGCGCTTCTATATCAACGTTTAGTCTATGCAGCTCTGTCAGTCACAGCGCTCTTCCGATCGTCTGCAATGACACGGAGGTCACCAGACAGGCCGGTGCGCATAGTGCACACGCTCCAAATTGAGATGCGATGTGTTGGAGACTCCGTTTACATTCTTTTGAGGTTTCAGGGTACGGTACGCGACTTAATAATCTACTTTAGAGTAGGACTTCAAGCACAGGCACTCCTTGAAGCATGCAGATCGTGACGGGTCAACACCTTGCTGGCTGGGGGCCGCCCGGCTTAAGGCGGGTGGTAGTTGACCCATGGGGCTTTATGACCCCTTCCAGAAGACAACCCGTGGCTCTACGCCAATTGAGCAGAGACTTACAATATATTATAGTCTTATTATATCCCAATAAGGCCGTAATGTACAGATCATCAAATAATATAATATGCCTTAATAATATGCCTTATCACATCCCAAAATATAGCACAGCAGCTGACCTGATCCCTGACGGCGACGCAGCGCTTGGAGGCGGCGCCCCCCGCGTGGTCGAGTGGCGCGCAGTGCAGCATGAGCCAGCGCAGCGCGACGTTGCTCTCGCGCACCTCGCGCAGCAGCGCCGCGCGCGCCGTCAGCACCTGCGCGGTACACATAATCAGCACCTGCGCGGTACACATAATCAGCACCTGCGCGGTACACATAATCAGCACCTGCGCGGTACACATAATCAGCACCTGCTCTCGCGCTGCGTACCTTGACTTCACTGAGGTCGCCCTCGCCCTCGCGCTGCTCGCTCTGCGCGGCGCAGGTCTTCAGCTGCGCCGCGAAACTCGCAGCCACGCGCCGCACGTTGTCGACCTGCGGTGGTGAGGGGGTGGTGAGAGGGTGGTGGATGGGTGCTGAAGGGTGGTGAGAGGGTGCTTGAATAAAGTAGGTAATATGGAACATGTATTACGGTATGCGTGGGTCTTAAGAATGCTGAAAATGCGGGTCGAAGCGATTTAGAAAGTGTTTAAGACGCGGTTGTTTCGAGACCGTGGGAACGAGTTAGTTAACATCGAGCGTTGGCCAACGCAGCGTGAGGGAAATTCCAGTCGAGGAATGCGGCGTCACTTCGAGGGATAGGGTTAAATTGTGGGCGAGACCAGCGTATATAAGGAACCTAAAATTGGTGCCAAGGGTTTGTTCTACAGTGATGACCGTCTCGTCAGTACGGTCTGCAGCTATCTCCGCAACGGCTTCGGCCGTTTGGGCGGCGGGTCGCGAAATATCGGCCGCGCGAAACGTCGAGTCATTCATACCACCACGACTCCGATATAATAACGTAAGAAATCTACGAGTAACGGCCGTAACTTCGCTTATTTGCACGGTCAACGTTCATTGCTACGGAGGTGACTTAGCAGTTAGACAACGTGATAGACAAGACATTCTACGATATTAACGCCAGCAATCATCAAGATTCAAGTTTTCAAGTGCCGAGCAACAATTATCATGGGTACGGTCATGAGCATAGTACGGTCACAACTCTCATCACAAGAAACAGTACGGTCACAACCATCAACCGCAGTATACCTACAAGAAACCTACGGCCAGACAAACACGAGGCATCTATATCGGCGAGACACGACGGCTTTGAAGAAAAAGCGACAGCTGCAGTAACGCCACTTGGAATACGGCTGCAAACGCGCGGCTACAGCTGCGGTACGGTCGCTGAACATTTAGGCCGTAAACGGATGCGCGAGTTACGGTCGTTTACAACAGTCGTCTACTCAACGGAACTGTAACGGATAAGCTTATATGGTAAATAGGGAAATTTAGTGATGTTAACTGACAGATTCTTTAATTTTGATGGTGTTCAGATTACCTTTTTCATGTACTAGAGTTTCATTGGTGACGTAGGATGCGAACTTAAATTTTTCAATTCAATGTGAAATGTATCAGTGTTTCATTACAACCCTCTCTCTGTACTATTTTTGCCGTAACCTATTCATACGAGAACCTTGTCACGCGCCTTTTAAGCCACTTCGGACCAATCTGACGTAATTTAAGCAATTGCCGAATGCCGATATAATAACAGTATAATAATAGTAAAAATCTCAAATCTACCAACGGTTGAAAACTCTTTTTTAATCATGCTGAAGGATGATGAGGGGTGGTGAAATGAGCTTAAGGGTGCTGGATGTACTAACGGAAGTGGGGATGGTGGGGCCAATAGAACAATAAAATAAGGCCTATAGAAGGAGAGGGGTGGGGCCAATAGAACAATACAATCAGGCCTATAGAAGGAGAGGGGTGGGGCCAATAGAACAATACAATAAGGCCTATNCTGACTGTACACGTCGCCAGCCTACCTGACTGTACACGTCGCCAGCCTACCTGACTGTACACGTCGTCAGCCTACCTGACTGTACACGTCGCCAGCCTACCTGACTGTACACGTCGCCAGCCTACCTGACTGTACACGTCGCCAGCCTACCTGACTGTACACGTCGTCAGCCTACCTGACTGTACACGTCGCCAGCCTACCTGACTGTACACGTCGCCAGCCTACCTGACTGTACACGTCGCCAGCCTACCTGACTGTACACGTCGTCAGCCTACCTGACTGTACACGTCGCCAGCCTACCTGACTGTACACGTCGCCAGCCTACCTGACTGTACACGTCGCCAGCCTACCTGACTGTACACGTCGTCAGCCTACCTGACTGTACACGTCGCCAGCCTACCTGACTGTACACGTCGCCAGCCTACCTGACTGTACACGTCGCCAGCCTACCTGACTGTACACGTCGTCAGCCTACCTGACTGTACACGTCGCCAGCCTACCTGACTGTACACGTCGCCAGCCTACCTGACTGTACACGTCGCCAGCCTACCTGACTGTACACGTCGTCAGCCTACCTGACTGTACACGTCGCCAGCCTACCTGACTGTACACGTCGCCAGCCTACCTGACTGTACACGTCGCCAGCCTACCTGACTGTACACGTCGTCAGCCTACCTGACTGTACACGTCGCCAGCCTACCTGACTGTACACGTCGCCAGCCTACCTGACTGTACACGTCGCCAGCCTACCTGACTGTACACGTCGTCAGCCTACCTGACTGTACACGTCGCCAGCCTACCTGACTGTACACGTCGCCAGCCTACCTGACTGTACACGTCGCCAGCCTACCTGACTGTACACGTCGTCAGCCTACCTGACTGTACACGTCGCCAGCCTACCTGACTGTACACGTCGCCAGCCTACCTGACTGTACACGTCGCCAGCCTACCTGACTGTACACGTCGTCAGCCTACCTGACTGTACACGTCGCCAGCCTACCTGACTGTACACGTCGCCAGCCTACCTGACTGTACACGTCGCCAGCCTACCTGACTGTACACGTCGTCAGCCTACCTGACTGTACACGTCGCCAGCCTACCTGACTGTACACGTCGCCAGCCTACCTGACTGTACACGTCGTCAGCCTACCTGACTGTACATGTCGCCAGCCTACCTGACTGTACACGTCGTCAGTCCTGAGGTGGCCCAGCACCTGGTCCACGTAGCTCTCCGGCAGCTCGATGCGTCTGTGAACACGTCGTGCATCAACACATGTAACAAGTACTCTTTATAAACTCTGCCATCAAGAGCTCCATATAAACTCTGACATCAAAAGCACATAAGTCTGCTGCAACGTCCATGTACAGCATACGAAACACATATTGCAGGATACAATAATATATAGAAATGCCACTATAGCCAAAAATGAAAACAATCTGAGTAAAAATGCTGCAAAATGCCCAGAGCAGAACATAGCGGTTTTCTGATAACAGCCTTGGTATAATCTTGTTACAAATTACTATATTAGTGTAACATCCCTTTAGATATGTGGAGGGGACAACAGATAATAGTGCATCTATGTAGGTGTTGATAATGTTCATTTGTCAGAACATGTAATTTCAAGAGCTAAAATAAGACCTGAAGTAGTCCTCAGGATATCCCGGCGGACGCTTCTCATCAAGCGCAAGTCCCGTAGAGCGCAGGAGACAACATACGTCATCAATGTTGGTGTCGCTGGCAGGACGTTGCTCGACGCTTGCGTGGCGATGATACGCAACAATGATACGCTCACGACAACAGCCTGGGTACAGCTTGTCCACCAGCAGCAGCTGGACGCCGTACAGGTACAGCGCCTCACACTGTCATATTATCATCATAGACTCAAAATATTGAACCCAAACTCAGATTGTAATATACAATCTTATTATTAAAAGATTGTGGAGGAGCAGTAGTGACAAATGGCAAGGTCCTACAAGAAGCAGAATCAAAGCTGCTCATAATTGCAAACTTTGATAATAACTGCAATATTTATAAATTCAAATGACTAGGAAATGGAGAAGTAATTCCATACCACTAAATTAATTTTAAACATCATCAATATAATCATCCAAGTTGAGCTACAAATATAACAAGAAAAAATCTCATGCATGACAGCGCTCACTAACCATGAGCTGCTTGCCGTCATGATCAGCAAACACAATATCAAAGTTAGAGTGCAGGAAGGCCCCGTCAGAGAGATCCTGCAGGAAGCTCCTCAGCTGTGACACGTAACGATGAATGCTTTCAAATGCAGCATAGAGGCGGCACAGCACGGGCATGTGTCGCTCCTTTATGTCATTGTCAAGTTGCTGCAACACCTGCACCACAACAACAAATTCAATCAAAATGCATCAATACGTTGATGGAGCTATTCCTTAAAATAAATTCAAGCTAATTTCTGGCTTCATTTTTAATATGCTGTCCAGACAAGAAACAGCGCCTTAAAATGGACAGCACAGCACTTTAAAATAAATTGAAGCTGATTTCTGATTCAATTTTTAATACAACTTTGCTGTGTGAGTGTACAAAAGCATTCTACTGATATTGATCTCTACTTGCCTTTGATTCCTCGATATTCTTAGCATAAAGTTCAGGGTTCTGGAAATAACCAAAGTCCAGCAGAACGTCTCCAAACTTCTGCACGTCTGCCTTGCTTTCTAATCTGAAAAACTTGAGGAATTAGGCATTTCATTTGCTTTAACAAATAAGTGCCATATTATATGTGCTCATATTTTATGCCTTGTTTGTAGGGCAACCAGCATGCAAATAAGATCTGTCTATACAAAGCAGATCTCAACTTCAACCTGTACAAACAAGCAGATCTCAACTTCAACCTGTACAAACAAGCAGATCTCAACTTCCACCTGTAAAAACAAGCAGGTCTCAACTTCCACCTGTACAAACAAGCAAGTCTCAACTTCCACCTGTACAAACAAGCAGGTCTCAACTTCCACCTGTAAAAACAAGCAAGTCTCAACTTCCACCTGTACAAACAAGCAGGTCTCAACTTCCACAGACACCAAACTTTCACTAATACCAACATGCAAATACAACTATCACAAACATAGCTACAGCTTCAAACCTTTCAGAAGTTTAAAATACTGCTGACCTATTTAGCACAGTCATGCAACATACTCTTGGAAACAAAGATGCAAATTAATTTAAAACAATAAAATTCATTCTTTCCACAAACTACTCTTTGATTAACTAATAAATAAATTAAGATTCTTTTCACCATACAGGGTTATTTTAAATGATGGACCCAATTTAAAAAATTTGTATTTATTTAAATGTAAATTTAAAGCAAATAATTTATACAGCAATGAGAAGAGAAAGATTCAAATTTTAACCTATTCAAATGAGGAGCTGAGCAGCATTTGATGTTCAACATTTTTTGAATTGGTCACTTCCTGGGCATTGGGTTGGATGCATAGAAAATGACGATCTGGCTCTACACTTTAGCCCACCAAGATCACCTGATCTCACCCCTTTGTGACTATTTCTTATGGGGTTATGTCAAGGAAGCTGTTTATGCCCTGCCTCTACCAGCAACTCTGTTTACATCCTGCCTCTTCCAGCAACTCTGTTTACGTCCCGCCTCTACCAGCAACTCTGTTTACGTACCACCTCTACCAGCAACTCTGTTTACGTCCCGCCTCTACCAGCAACTCTGTTTACGTCCCGCCTCTACCAGCAACTCTGTTTATGTCCCGCCTTTACCAGCAACTCTGTTTACGTCATGCCTCTAACAGCAACTCTGTTTACGTCCCGCCTCTACCAGCAACTCTGTTTACGTCATGCCTCTACCAGCAACTCTGTTTACGTCCCGCCTCTACCAGCAACTCTGTTTACGTCATGCCTCTACCAGCAACTCTGGTTGATCTGAAGAACAGCATCTTTGCTACGGTGCAGTCCATTACAGAAGATATGCTTTCTTGTGTGTAGGACGAGTTTGGCTGCCGATAAGATGATTGCTGTACACAGCATTTGAAGGTCATATTGAACATTTATAAATTGGTAAAAAAATTGCACATCTTTCTTTTTAGACTGGTTTATAAATTATTTATTTCAAATCAATATTTGAATCAATACAAATTTTCTAATTTGGGTCCATCATTTAGAATAACACTGTATACCGGTACCTATCTGCCTAAGCGAAAATCTACAGTAAATAATTTAAATCACTGGATAATTTTTTCATTTAGCTCAGTAGGATTGCTCACCTAAATATGCTTGGCACAGCTGATGCAAGTCGGGTGAGCTCGGCAAGAATGGAGCTTCCTCGCGCTACGAGTTTGAGGAGAGTTTGGCCGCAGGTGTTGTTGTCAGCAAGAAATGCCATCAGAAGGATGCTGGTAGCTTTACTATGGCAAAAAATTTTCTTTCCTACTTAGAGAAATTGATGGTAAAAATATCCCAAATGAAAATAATCTTTACTTTAGTTGATGACAATTGTCATTTTGAAGCATTGACAATTATATAAAATCATCAATAATTAAAAATTTCTATGCCTGAAAATGAAATTCAAATACATGGATCTAAAAGAAAAACTAAAACTAATACAAATACAGTTATTTATTATTCTATAAATATAACATGTAGACATTCATGAAACAGTATTTATATATTAGCTACAAATATTTACACTTGCCTGTGTGACACTTTACCTCCAGAGAATCAAACTCAAATGAGGTACAAGAAAAAATCCCAAATTATTGTTTGATGGTATCATAGCATTAGCAATATTTGGGTTTTTCACAAGAGTACATGCTGCAGCACCCAGCTCAGAACATCTGTTAAGACAAAATCCTTACCAATGCAGGCATCAAATGAAAGTATGTGTATTGATTTAAAATTCTAAATGAATATATACATTACTTTATCATAACACTTGAGCTACACAGCTACAAACCATACAGTAGTCATGTAGAGTACATAAATATATATATGTATGGATAATATATATATATATACATGATATATAATATATATTATATAAACCGTCAAACGGGGTAATAAGGGACAGGCAGAGTAAATCGGGACACGCATCCCACATTTCGTAGAAATGTTGTAGCAGCTAAACTAATCAAAATATTGCAAAACTAAAAATAGAGCGTAAACTTCAACATTTTTACTATCTATTATGCATAAAGCTATTTAAGAAATCATACATTTACTATCTCTAAAAATTCGCTGAAAAAAAGTGTAAAAAGTGTGATTTTGGAAAAGTAACTCTACTAAGGTCTGGAGCAAAAAAAGATTCGCCATATTAAAAAAATTTACATACATAAAAGTTGCACACAGGTGTTGGCTTGAAAACAAGATTGACAAAATTTGCCTATCTCATTAAAAAAAAATGGCAGCCATTTCCATGCAACGGGGTAATAAGGGACACCTCCCCAGGGTAATAAGGAACACCCCTAAAAACGCATTTACGGTTTAACCTCAGTTAGCAAAGGCTCCAGTTAACAAAAATATTGATTAACAATGAAGAATTTTGATTACATCTACCTTGCACAGCAAAAAAAATTTCACTTATCAAAAAATTAATGCATCATTGGTCATCACAAAATTGTGCACAGAATGTCATATTATGCAAGTTTGATTGAAGACCAGAGCATGCTTTTTATTAACAATCTTCTTGTTCGTTTTTTCAATGAGTCGAACCAAATTTCTTGCTGGCGTCGGGAGATCGAAAAGCAGGTTTCCGAATGACATTTTAATAGTTTGCGACGTTTCGAAAATACAATTTTCATTATCAAGCTGGAGATGGTTTTACAACATTTGAAATTGAATTTGAAATGACTGAAGTACATATGAATGGTATAGTGGATACAATAAAATAAATAATGTGGATACAACAAAATATAAACTTAAAATNATTTTGTTGTATCCACATTATTTATTTTATTGTATCCACTATACCATTCATATGTACTTCAGTCATTTCAAATTCAATTTCAAATGTTGTAAAACCATCTCCAGCTTGATAATGAAAATTGTATTTTCGAAACGTCGCAAACTATTAAAATGTCATTCGGAAACCTGCTTTTCGATCTCCCGACGCCAGCAAGAAATTTGGTTCGACTCATTGAAAAAACGAACAAGAAGATTGTTAATAAAAAGCATGCTCTGGTCTTCAATCAAACTTGCATAAGAGAAAAGCTTCTGCCTAACTACACCAAGAATGTCATATATATAGTATTGGGCACTGGGCATCATAGAATGAAAAGTAGTTGACCTAAACTATGTTTTATTTCTCCGAAACAAATGATGGTTGTTTCTAAAACATTCCTTTCTGATTCAGGTATGTTTTTATGATCTTTTTTATAGTGAATTCACTTAACCTAATTAAAATGGTGTGAAATTACAAGCCCTCCTGTAAGCTTACAGATACAGAAGAAATGCTATATGGCTGCTGATATCAAGCTTGCAGTGGACAAGGTCATTGTAAATGTTCAATGGCATGTTTATGGATCCGGTAATATCACATCAATAATACGGTAATGAATGAATATGGTGATATCATATCAATAAAGGATAAACAAGTAAAAAACACAGAAAATGTTATTTATTCTACATCTACATCATGTAAAATGAAAGAGGAGGACTTCAGACTACTGTTAGTAATGGATGAGTACACTATGCATGCTTCGAACATTAAACACTCAAAACCGTCCCTTATTACCCACTTTGATGGTATGTGTAATTCACACCTATGAAAATTGACCATAAATAAACCAACTGAATTGGTAGTCTAACTGATCAGTTTTTGCATGCAACCACTGTAAGGGTTAACTGACTGACTGCTGAAGACTTGCATGTCTGTACAGTGTACAGCATAGCACAACATAGCAAGAGGATGCTGAAGACTGTTACTTGTATGGACAACACAGCACAACATAGTATGAGGACGCTGAAGACTGTTACTTGTATGGACAGCACAGCACAACATAGCATGAGGATGCTGAAGACTGTTACTTGTATGGACAGCACAGCACAACATAGCATGAGGATGCTGAAGACTGTTACTTGTATGGACAGCACAGCACAACATAGCATGAGGATGCTGAAGACTGTTACTTATCTGTATGTAGTGATTGTAGTCTGAGAATATTGCTCAGAAGCAACCCATAAACCAGACAAAAAATCACAGGATTGGAATTTTTCAACATATTACTGAAATCTCATGCCTCTAAAGTTAAAAATTTTCAATACATTTAGAATCTTGCTACACAATTGTGCACTTAAAGTTATAAGTTATATTAGCAATTAGGAGGTAACTTAGCAAGAGATGAAAGACTTAAAATGCTAGGTACTCTATGCCAATGATGCACTAAGAATGAGCGAAAATGGGGTTGAACTTCCAAGTATGCTTGAATGTATAACTGAGTATGGCCAGGATTTCAATGTGCACTTTAAATATCCCAGAGAAGGGTCAGGAGCTAGTTGTTAATGGAGCAGCTGAAGATGTGGATAGAGTGTGGCAGCTGGAAGGAAATGTGATTGGGATGACAAATGAGTACCAATACTTGGGACTGAGTGTTGACCAAAAAAGATGTGAGAGAACTAAAGCGTTGTATCTTAGTAAAGCAAATCAGTGGTTAGGAATACTGGGCAGTGTAGCAAGAGTGAGAGCAAGTAAATATGATGTTCTAAGAAGTATGGGAAAGTGTCGGTGCCTGGGATTAAGTGTGCGGAATGGATATTTTGCATGGAATGATGGCAAATTGAATAAATTGGAAATTATACAGAATATGATAGCTAGACTGGCACTTGGGGCCCCGAGATGGACTGCAGTGGAGGCTTGAAAAGGACATATGGGATAGAGTACATTTAGAGAGAGAAGAATGAAGCAGCACTGAGATATAAAGTATGCCTGGAAAGAATGGATGATGTACATTGGGCACGTAAGATGTACCTGTGGAACTTAAGAGTGAGCAAACAGGAACGTAGGTGTAAGTGTCATGCAATAGTATGAAAGAGTGAGTTACACAAAACATGGGCTCGCCCTGGGAATAATAGACCAAGAGACTAAGAGATGACTATGATAACAGAACAGGGTGCAACAGGGATCAAATGGGATGTCAAAGAATGGAAGAAAGAAATAGAAAAGAGAGTGAAATTCTATGGTAAAAGAGTTTAGAAGCAAGGAATGGAAAGATTGAGATTGAACAAGATGAAAGAGATCCCAAAGTATGAGTACATATATGATGGAAGTAGAGCTGGAGACCTAATGTGAGAGCAAATGCTTTGAGTATGAATGCACGGACATACAGGTGGAATGAAAGAAGAGAGGATATTTGTTTTATGTGACAGAGGAGTGAGGGAAACTGTGGAGCAGCTGATGATGGATTGTACTGCATATGAGAGGGAGAGACTGGAAATGATGAGAGTAATACTGGATGAGAGAGATGCCATTCAGAGATACCAGAGTGTGATCTGTGATCTTTGAGTGAATGGAAGACTAATAGATTGCAATGATAGTGGGCCTGTCAAGAGGCACGACTCCTGCTAAGACATAGTGGAGAGCAATTTTTGGAGAGTGCATGGAGAATGAGGGAGAGGAAGGTGTTGGTAAGAAAGGAGGCTGGGAAGGTGTAAGGGAAAAAATTTAGTAATAAAATAAGAATAACTGTATTAATAAAATTTTACAGAACACAAATAGTCATTTAGGACCTAAGAGGTACAGGTACCATAGCTACCTAATATAGATATAAACTATACAGTGCAATAAATGGGATATAGCAATAATAAACCAAATGAATTTCCTCTTAAATTTCTCTTCCCCCTTGTTTTCATCTCACCCTTGACACAAACTTTCACTGTTTCACACCCCTCTAGCCTCTCCTTTAAGGTTGCTTCTACTTGGCTTGGTCTCCCCTTTTCCTTCCTACAAACAAAATGAATACTATGTGATGTGTGGCACTGTGGCTGATGTGACGGCCATTGTAAAGTCAGACTCTGGAATGTCCTTTTTCAGAGTCACCACTCTCCAAATCCAAAATCTAAAGCAAGAATCTCACAGCATAAAAAAATGACAGGCCCAAGTTCAAACTTAGGCCAACTAAGCTTGTGCTTCTCTATAAGACTGCAATTTATAATTATGACAAACAAATCAATTTTACCCTTGATTTTGGGAGAATTTGATGTAATTCTCTAGATTGGCAACAATAGTTACCATATGAATTAGTATTTAGTCTCATAATCTTCAGCCACATTTTCCAGTTTGTCTCGTGAGCTTTGCTCATCCAAATGAACAATAACAGTAAACACTAAACAGCATAACTCAGTTATCAAGGCTCATGACATAAGCCTTGATTAAAGCTTCTCTATTCCTCCCATTCAAAATTAATTTGGACAAGAGTTAGTGCCACTAGTAAGTAAGTAAGGTGAACCAATGGTTGGGTATACTTGGGAAGTGCAGCAAAAGTGAGAGCGAGTAAGTATGAAGTATTGAGAGAGGTGTGGAAGAGTGTAGCAGTGTCTAGCATTATGTATGGACTGGATGTGATAGCATA